TACATGATGTACGTTTTTTGGGGGGTGGTTAATGAAAGTGTTCCAAAACGCGACATTAATTTCTTGACGACCTAATATAAAATAAAAGTCCTTTTCTGCTTCATTTTTGTTTTTACTTTGGAGCTGAATACTTTACTGAGTGAATTATTGTCACATTTAATAAATTAAGCATATTTTTAGTTGAAGCTGGACATTTTTTTAGAAAATATTAGGATTTTACAGTTTACAACTATTACGGTTATGACTCTTTCTATTTAGGAGCTATTAAGGAAGACGTTTGTACTTGACAGCGGAAAGCTTACGGACTTACATCGCTAAAATCCGTCGCTTGATTCCCTGTGGTGGACACATCAGATAGACCAATGTGGCTTTGGTCTTATAAAAATTAAAAATTAAGAGCTTGACAAATTCACTTATTATACGTTGTACTAATTCTAAAAACCAACGAGAGAAAGCAAACAAAAAACATATTAACCACACTACATCTCCCACATGCAGTGCTGACGAGGACTTTCGTCCAATACCAGGGTTCATCAGTCGGCGGGGACACGACAGACAAAGTATTAGTTTATATGCTATATATACATACACGTATATCACATCAATTTTCATGAAAAACAATTGTTATGGTGTGGGCTAGGTTAAGTAAGTGAATTGTAATTAATATTAATTATATTTAAGTCAGTTTTCAAATTAGTATTTTGGAGTTAGAATTACAAACAATACATTATTTATTTTATTTTTTCCAGCTCTGTCAATCTCTGAGTATAAAATTTGGGGTACAGGCGTTTTTCACATATTCGCTATACATGTGAAGCCATACCGGTGCGGTAAGTATCCAATATCAAGGAAAACTTTCCGTCTATCTGTAGACACATCTCCTCTTAAACGAGTTGACCAATCCAGACCATTCTAACTTGGCATGCTAACTTAGTAGTCCAAATGGAAACAAAATTAATATGAAATTTTTCCATATATTGAAAAATAAATATATTTTATAGAATAACCCCTATATTGTTACTGCAGTAGCTATTGTAAATAGTTGAGTTTGAACAAAACTCACACCACAATAAAATTCTAGAAGTCAAAAATTGCAGATAAAATTTTACGCATTTTGGATTGTTTGGCATAATAACGCAAATATACAGAAAGAAAATATCCAGATACAATATGGACTTCTTCTTCTACTTCATCGGAATTCGGTCCATGTTTTGGACCAGGGAGGGTCAGGTTCAGCGTTGACCTGTTCCTCCCTCTCAGGAATTGTTTTTGTTGTTGTTTTTTTTGCACTGTTACTGAATCCTAAGTAATAACCTTTGTTACCTAGTTGCATTAATCACAGTATGTTAAACTTTGTCCATTGACCGCAGTTTTAATTAACACACCCTTTATGTTCCACGTCTAATTCATGGGGTAAAATTAATTCGTGTATTTTTACTAGCTTCAGTTATGCATGACCGCACTATTAGTCCGTGTTCACAATACAGTTCCGCTTAGCAGTCATATACACACACATAATCCTATTTTTACATACAAAACCCTTTTAAAATAGAGCTACGTTTGTGTCTATGATTCAGTTAACTTAGCACTGTTTGACCTGTAAGATTCTTATTTATGATGTTAAGAGGGGATAGGTACTTAGGGCTTGGTTCATCATGTATTATGTAACTCTCTAGTTTGCTCATCAGTTCATTTTTATTAATATTTTTCTTATGATATTGAAGCAAGTTATCCAGGAGTCTGTCTGATAGAGTTGGCATGTTTGAATAGTTGTATAGGAATACTAAGTGTGTAGATCGTGGGACTCTATATGCTTTCGTTAAATATAGTTTTCTATTTGCCTTAGTTTGTTGATGTGTTTTTTTATACATTTATCCATGTTATACAGGCATATTCTACGACTGGTCTTATGTGTGTTCTGTAAATGTTTAATAGGTTTTCTGGTGAAGCTCCTTATTTGTTGCCAGTAAGACTCCTAAGATAACTCACTTTTTTCCAAATTCTGGTTTTTATGCTATTAATGTTTGGTATCCAGTTTAATTTTGAGTCAAATGTAATCCCTATGAATTTTGCTGATGTTTCTACGTGCAAGAAAGTCCCGTCTAGATATATATCTAGTATTAATTTGCTTGTCTTATATATGATTTTGTAAATAATATGACTTGTGCTTTGTGCGCATTTATTTTAATTATTCACTTATTGTAGTACAGTTCTATTTCGTTTAGTAGTGGTTGTATGTTGCTGTTGTTGGGTTTGAGACATTCTTCCAGATTGCATCATATTCTGCAAACTGTGAGCAAAAAGTGTGGTTTGGGTCTTTCAAAAGCATGTCGTTGAGATACATGATAATCAGGGTAGGGCTAAGTACTCCTCCTTGAGGGACACCCGTCTTCAGAGTGCAGCACTCGGAGTAGGTGCTCTCAACATTCACTCTGATGCTTCTATCTTCTAGGAAGCTAGAAACCCAGCGAATAATTTCTATTGGGAGTCCCAATTTAGACAGTTTGTATCTGAGTTCGTTGTGCTATACTTTATCGAATGTTTTATCAACATCTAGGAAGCATGCGACTGTACATTGTTTTTTTATTAAAGCCGTGTATTATTTATTCCGTTAATCTTATGAGATGATCTGTTGTTTTTCTTGCTTTCCACAAAACATTTTGTATTTCCAGGAGTATTGACTTAGTTTCAAGGTAATTTATGAGTCTACTATTTATGATTTTTTCAAACAGTTTTATTAAATTGCTGGTTAGACTTATGGGTCTACAGTTTTCCGGATTATTCGCTGACTTTCCTTCCTTCTGGAACATAAGAACATTGACCTGTTTCCAAGCGGTTGGTATGTATCCTGTTTTTAGAGATAAGTTGTATAAAGATGTGAGATGTTATAATAATCTCAAAGGGCCTTTCTTGAGTAATATGTTTTGAATTGTGTCTCGTCCTGGTGCTTTGTTTTTCAAAAGTTTTATGTTTTCTTGTACTTCTGCTACATGATGGATTGTTTTATTGTATAGTCATGTTATGTTAATGTGTTGAGTGTCCTTAGCGGTGTGGTGTATATATACTACGATCGGTTTTATATAATTATTTATTACGTTCATGAAGTGGTTGTTCATGTTTGAGTCGTTTGGTGTTTTGAATGAAAGATATTGCTACTGCTTCAGTTTCCCGCTCTTTTCTGGTTGACACCATTTAACTCTCGGTTTATATTAAGGTTAGAATAAGCACTTAAGCCTCATTTAGAGAAGTATTTCATAGTTAAAATAATCTTTATGTAGAATATAGTTTTCCGTAGAAGCAAAAGTTAATACTGTTATTAGATTTAATGCGTTAAATGTACCAATTTTAGACAGTAGAAACCTTAACTACATCTCTACTGTGAAATGGATTGCTTTGAACAAGAAGTGACGCAACTGCTTTGCCATTTCTGCCAAGTTTCTCGACTCTATTGATACATCTCCTTACTTCCGATTCACTCACATGTCTTATAACAATTTGTTAGAGAATGAACGCTACTGAAAATCCTTGCAGAGAATTTGTTCATTTTTAGACAATTTGTGCGTGTTTTCAAAAGAAAAAAGACGGAGGAGGGCAGTTTCATTAGAATAACTTGCAAAACTTTTAAGGTAAAATGTTTAAAGTACATTATAAGAGCTTCAAAAAGAAAATCCATTATGGACTGAGAGCTCACTTTTACTTGTAGACTTTCACCGGATCTGTTGGGCTTTCACCAAGGACAGAGCGGAGTGTGCAATTTGCCGCTCAGAAAATTAGTCAAATTATACGCCTACTTAAGTTTAGTTTCAACACTGATTATTATTATTTTATGTAATTAACTTTATTATCATTCACCAGAAATGACAAACCAGCAAACTAGTCTTCCAGTTCCCAGAGTAGGTCAACAAACCACAACGACAACGAGAGAAAAGTACATTGGTAATTGTAAGAAACCATGAGTGAAAGGAAAGGAAATTAGACCATGATATATCAACCACACTCTATTTGCCATATGCAGTGCCGACGAGGCCTTTCGCCAATACTAGGGTTCATAAGGCCGGTTGGATTACAAAAGACAATCGTAATAGTGACCTACGATCCAGTTCTACCTTTCATCCCACACTATACATAGCCATAACTTGTTTCCAAATGTGTACAATTTGCCAGTTTCAGATGGCTGAAACGATCTTTGGAGAGGAGCACTAAGCAACTCGATAACTGAAAGCTCTGATCACACTAAGCGTCCCTGATAACGATAATGTTCTCATATGATTTTTTATGCTTTGAAAAAATAGTATGAACGAAAAACACATTTCGAGCCGAAGCAAAATTAAAATTTTACATCAAGGACAAGCTCATTATAACAATTAATTAACTTCAATTCAAAAAAGATGACAATCAAAGTCTTAAGCAGAATAAAATCAAATAAGAAGGGAGAATAACTTTAAAAAACTTATAGTACAAAATAGAGAGTATCCTAACTTCTATATATACCGATAATACAAATGTTCAGCAGACTTATTTCAAAAAATAAATAATAATAAGTTCTGCGGTATAACTCACAAATTCAGCTGTATAAATCTAAGTTGAATAACTTAACGTTAAAATATCAGTATTTTCATGTACAAATCTCAGGCTATGGAGTTGAGGAAAACAAGTTTGGACTGACCTGAAAAAGACTGCTAGTGTATATACTGAACCATCTCATGGTCGTATCTCGTACAATTCCGTTCGTCTAGTTTTCGTACTATTCGTTTCGTCTCTGTTACTTTTCAGTTGTTTTATATTTTTTCCATTTATTAGTTTACATTTCCATGATGTGTTGACCAGCCTTAACATTTCTCAGCGTCATTTGAATTTTCTATGTAGTTTTGTTGATATATTTTCTTATTGTTTGATTTTTTTACTATATTCTTCAACTTTGGTTGAACTGTTTTCTGCGTTATACCACGCCAGTTGTACTTTTTACATGTTATTTTATCAGTTTTTTTTTGTATGCTCATCCATTAGTTTAATTTCAGTATGTCGTTCCGTATCAGGTAATTAATTCTTCACGTTGCAACGTTGTTATTGAGTTTTTGTTCCACACATTTTTCGTTCTAGTTTATCATTTTTCAGATTGTTCTTCACAGGGTGAAGTTGTGTCTACTTTCTTCCTTCAATTCTCACACCAGATGAACTTTCTTCATGCTGTATTATATTAGCTGACCTTTCTTCATGTTCACCGTATCACTTAGCATTTCTTGATATCGTCTGTCTTCACTTTAGTTTTCTCCACGTTGTTTCTTGTCGGTTGATTATTCTTCATGCTGTTCAATGTCGTGTTATTTATGTTTTATTCCTTTTATTTAGTGTCGGTTGAATTTCTCTACATTGTTCCATGTTAAATGGCCATTATCCTTGTTGTTCCGCATCAATTGAAGTATTTGTTCATTATCAAATGCGACTCCTCTATGTAATTCCACTATGACGTAATTATTCAACCAAACGCTGTTTACAACCAAAACACTACTTATCTGTCAGAAACGATAATTTCCAGTCACGTACAACACTTTTTGATTACATTATTTTTAAGTATTAACCTAGCAGCTAAAATATTAATAATATTTACTATTATGTAAATACAATGTTATTTGGTTGGGAAGCTTCTTTTAAACACAATTCTATTTGTTTCTTTAAGAACTGAAAAACCCCGATAATTATACCTGTTTTTTTTGTCTCTTATTGGTTGAATACTAATTTCATGATTGTTTATATACATCACCGACAAATCTACCTTAGTAGAGTTTTATGACATGTCCGCCTAACTAATGGCTTTTTTCTTGGGCTTCCTGTTCAGGTAGAACTACATATCTTGTGTTAATCATAACCAATGGATAAATCCTGCTTTGGACAGTCTAAAGTTACGGTCCTGGAAATGACTTACCATTGCTACCAGATACGCCGCAAGCTATAACGTTTTGTCGCAAGTCTCTTAGAGAACTTCCGGCAACCTGCCCGGAGAATAGTCAGACCGATCAGATGAAGGCGCTGTTTCCTCGTGCTTTACTGGCTCTATCTTACTCGGCAGCAAGCCGGGCAATGATGGTGAAAGACGCGCACGACGTTTCTTGTATTCGTTTGTAATTATATGCAAGTATCGGTTCATCTGCATTGCAATAGGGCCATTGCTGGCAGATAATTATCAAGTTTATATGGAGCAGAAGCGAAGGCGTGGAAGGAGTCAGTTAAGTGAATGAATTAAAGCAGCAGAGGCCGGTTAATGCTCACAATACTGACAGCAGGGAAAACTTGGACATCATAATAAGGCTAGGCTCCAACTCTGGTCCCGTATCGTAGTTGGCTTCTGAATAGCAAGTGGAGTCCGGGATGAGAACTAAGACCTGATTCCATCTCATGCAATTCCATCAAATGTTCATACATTTTAAAAAGGCCTCTTTGTTTTGATAAACATATTCTGGAAGGGAGCAAGGAGATAAAAAGCGGGGAAGGGCTTGGATTACGGTTGCGACTGCTGCATTCATAAATACTGTTGCGGAACGAGTGTGAAAATAAATCTTACCATTAAAGAGTGGAGAGAGAAAGAAAACGCAAGTTACAGCATTGAGTGACTGAAAGAAATAGTACATCTGTGTAATATGTAACCATATCTATATGTATGTGATTTGTTTGAATATATTAGCATAGAATGTGCTTACGTCCATGACATATTTGCATAAATAGAGTAAAAGAGAGTAATAAAGTTTGAAATCATTAGAGTCGGTGATATATGTAAACGTATTAAAATATGTTATACGCAAAAATATAGAAATGCCAAAAAAAAACATTCTATACAAGAGCAGAAAATAAATAGGAAAGAAAAAGTAAAAGATAAAAATGAAAATACCATGAAAAGATTCAGGCTTATTGGTTTTATAATTTAAAGAACGACAATGAGGCTACATATAAAAGACAAGTATGTTTTAAAAGATGTGATGCTAACTATGTAAAAAAATGAAAAATTTATATAGTCAGCCATATGATACTTCCAAATTATTTTCGGTTAAATGTAGCATTATAAAAATAAATTTTCACGTAAATATAAATTGTTTACACCCTAATAAAAATACCCTAAAATGTAGTTCTTTACCACTTGTGATAAGTGATTTAAATCATTTGCGAATATTTCCTCTTTCAGTTTTCGTTTTTGTTCTAAACACAACAAAATTAGCACAAACATACAATAAAATAAGAAAAAACAACATGCAAAACAAACCCTGCACGCGGACCTTCTGCAGTATGATGCACACTGATCCAGAAATAGGAACTATGCACTTTTTCTAGCTACATATCAACCTAGATTAACTAAACAGAACATAAAAAAGTTCAAGCATAGGTCCTTTTAGACCCATTGAGGTCTAAGCTTTAACAAGCGCTTATTGCCTGCTTGTAATAATTTAGTATTAGCCCAGACAAACATCATGCAAAATGAGGTGCAGGGTAAAAATAATAATGAGATATACATATCTCAGACTGTCCAAAGCTTAACAAACCGCCTTTGCGAAATGTAAATACAGGATACAATAAATCTGGAAAAAATCTCAATGTTTTCAATTCTTAAAATATATGCCTTGTATTTATAAACCAATCTACGAGCTCCGTGAATCTGATGAATATTTCAACCCATTACATTTTAGTTTTTGGCTTAAAATAATAGACATAATCACAGTCTTGTATATGTGAATGTAAAGCATGATACTTGATTGTGACTGAAAATCATAAATTTTAAGATTATATGAACAGATAGATACATAGATGTTTGTACTTGTATATGAGTTTGTTTGTTTTTATGTTGGCATTGTTTTACTGTTTTTACCTTGGATTTTCATAACACTTGGGTTACATTTTGACAATAATAGTAAAATTGTCTGTAAACCTGCATCTCTGAAAACGCAGGAGCATGTTTAAGTCGTGAGATCAAATTAGATGAAAATAAATCATTATACTGTAAAATATTTCCTTCTGTACATTTCTCAGCCTTACAACAGTGATTCTTTCTTTACTGATAATGCTAAAATCGGGTTTCGATACCCGCCGATTGCCGCAACTTTCATTTTCATCTTTCGTTTTCAACAGCCAGTGGAGTAAAATCTGAGAGCTATATTTTTCAACACGAGGTATCTCTATTGCTTAAATAACCTGCCTGGTATAAAGAAAGTTGCGGGCCTGGTCTCACTTTACAATTATGTTTAAAAATAAACACAACAAAATTAGCACAAACATACAATAAAATAAGAAAAAACAACATGCAAAAACCCATGCACGCGGACTTTCTGCTCAGGCAGTATGACGTACACAGATCCAGAAGTGAAAGAACCTTGGTTCGCGTTCTGTTGCTGCAAAATCATATTCCGCACTTTGTATGGGTATTATAAGAGTGACAGGCAAATTCCAGTTTTTGATTAGAATAACCAAGAGTTGGTGGTAGGTGCTCTTGTCTAGTTTCTTTCTCTGTAATGCATCAGTTCAAAATTAGAGACGGCTAGGCACAGATAATCCTTGAGGAGTTCGCGCATATCCGAAAATGTATGAAAATTCTAACTTTGCTAGAGAGCATGTCAGTTCTAAAATTTATATGGAGAAGGTATGCACTCTACATTAAAAATCATCATTTCTAGAGATTTCCACTGCAAGGTTTGCGGGTTAGATTTGCTGTAATTCTAGTTAATACTTGAAGAGAGAAACAATTATATTACCAGTCACTTTTTGTTCATGAATCTTTTATAAAATAAAGGCTTGATTTGCATGAAATATTATCATATATATATATATATATATATTGACTTAACTAATTTGATTATTCTCCTGCCATCCACGCATCATTTCAGAAAAGAAGAAGGAAAAGTGTGATGAAAAATTAAAAGTATTCGTTCTTAATATGGAATTAAACAAGCACTGGATAACATCTGCTATATCTCAAATCTGCGAAGTACTTGATAATTTAAGATGTGTATCCTGTGTTGTATGAAAACATCAAAAATGTGGATGATGGATACCAAGCAGTGACCACTTCAATATTTTGTCGATACATCGCTTCGGTGAACAATGTTAATATATTAGTTTAAAATATCCCTAAAAACAGACAAAAGGAATCGAAGACATTTTCACAAAACACTACCTACCATGATCACAACCAATAGCGGTCATTTTCACAAAACACTACCTACCATGATCACAACCAATAGCTCGACCGCTTATACTTGCTCATGTTGTAAGTACGAATGTTGGTACATTTTCAGTTCCACCTAATTTAGGAAATGTGGAATTAGAATGATCCTGAAAGTGAACGCCTATTTGGCTTTTCTACTTGCCCTGATCATCCAAGAAGTATAAATCTCACTAGTCAGTAAGTGTTTCTTTGGACAAATATTACTAGTAATCATGTTTTTCAGTACTCTAAATGTCTGTCTATAATACTTTAACACATAAACAATTAACAAATCTTCTTTGGCCTTTCTTCGTATAATGATTCAGGGTAATTCACTGATTAAGTATAACGACAAATTAAGATATTTCCTGTATTCGTGAAACGTTTTGTGGAACTAACCCTTGAAACGTGTGCAGCTCCTGATTTGGTTTTGCCCAGTAATGGATAATCGAATTCAGTTACTTGTGTAATTCCTGAATTATAAAGTGATTACTTAATTTATCTAAATACAAGCCCAAGCTTAGATTACCTGTCTCAGACTTGATATTGTATATGTATAATATGTCAGAATTCCCTGAACCCTATATAAAACCTGTGCATTTGCAACTGTTTTAGGTGGCCCTTGTCTCTAACAGCCTGTTCTCTGTAACTTTATCTTTGATGCTTTTATAAATTAAAGTGTACCGATATCACTCTCGAACTTCTACTTCTGTCGAGAGTTAATAACCCCTAGAAAGCAATCAGTTAAATAAAACATTCATAATTGATAACTAAAAGATACAACAGTCGATAGTAGCATAAAATCTCGTCACGGTGATTTTCTAAAAAAAATCCAAACATCTTATACAATTGAATAGAAATAAACAAATGAGTTATCACTCTTATATTACTGTGATCCAGATAAAAAATCACCCAAAATATGCTCATTAGATAATAATCCGGAAATATTAATGTATTCTTTAGTATAGTCTCTTTCAAAGATTCTGTTTTATCCCGAATAGCCATGCGCATATATATCATGAGCGTATTTTAGACTAACTTTCAGGATACGAAGGGGCAAATATTCTAAATGCTGGAGAAATTATATATCATAAACTACGACGTGCATAAAATATTATTAAAAGAATTATTTTGCTTCAGCAAAACTCATGGTTTGTTATTAGTTTAAAAACTAAACCATATAACTTTCAATCCTAGTGTATTATTCACTAAAAACGACTGTTTGTTTCAGTGTCTATGTTTTTACTGATAGACTAGAAGAAAGGCAGGCAGTCAATAGCACATATCGCTAATTCTTGGTCTACTTTTGCCTAACCGAATAGTATAGGATTTCACTGTCACTCTTGTAGCACACTCACAGCCCCAAAGTGCGGAGCGCGATATAGTGACTCGAACTCACTGTAGGGCCATACTAACGAATAGGTCCTACGAAAGGGGAATTTAATTTGAAAACATGTTTTCTTTTTTTCCTCTATTTTTAATAATGTTATTTTGACTATGTTAAAAAATTGGTTAATTAGTTTGTCTGTTTGTTTGAATTTCGTGCAAAGCTACTCGAGGACTATATGTGCTAGCCGTCCCTAATTTAGAAGTGTAAACTAGAGGGAAGACAGCTAGTCAACACCAGCCACCGCCAACCCTTGGGCTACTCTTCATCAATAAAAAGTGTGATTAACCGTCATACTATAAACCCTCACGACTGAAAGTGCGAGCATGTTTGGTGATAGGATTCGAACCCGCGACCCACATATTGGGAGTCGAATACCCTAATCACTAGGCCATCCATGTTAAGAAGAGAAAATGGTGTTAGATAAACTTAAGATACTATAAAGCAATATAAACAATATCATATAAATGTCAAATAAATCTCTGAATACGTATATCTTTTGATTAATGGAAAAGTTATGGACTAAGGAAGTTTATTTATCGAAACTAATTTAGATAATAGTTTTTTTAAGACCTGGCAAAAACTTAATCTAACATTTTTTGTCAATTTACCCACAGTGAAACCGGTGTTGATTTCACAAATAAGTCACCTGACTTTGACAGCAGGCAAAACACAACGTGCGTAAAGCTTTAAGTATACAACAGACACACGTTTATAGTCACCAGATTAATTCCAAACTCGTACACACACAGTGAAACCGGTATTGATTTCATAAATAAGTCACCTGACTTTGACAGCAGGCAAAACACAACGTGCGTCAAGCTTTAAGTATATAATTGACCCACATTTATAGTTACCAGATTAATTCCAAACTCGTAC